CAGTCAGGGTGTGAACGTGAATGACTAAGCTGCTGGACACTTTTCTTTTTTTCTGGACTCTGGAATTTTAATGTCTCTGCTGGGGTGCTCAAAGCACGCTAAAGAAACTGGCAACACGTTTTTTTCTGTTTGTTTGCTTTTTTACAGAAATTCACCCCACTACCCATGACCTTCTGAAATATACTGAAAGCACTGTTGAAAAAAATGAATACGTTTTTACATAACATTCAGTTGTGCTTTGTTTTATTCTATATCTGTTTGAGTGTTTTTTCAAGTACGATAACAGCATACATTTTTCTTTATTAATATTGGTAAATTTTCAACTCACTGGAGTAAGAAATGTATGATTATTCAACAAGAATATCTGTGTTTGGTGAATTTAGGAATACATGGCCTTGGAGGGAATAATTGTATGTTAATTCAACAGGAATATCTTTGTTTGGTGAAGGCAAAAATACATGGCATTGAAACCAGAATTTCTTTGTTAGACTTACAGGATTATCCTAATTAGGTGAACAAGTAGATCCAAGTTGGCAGAACATGAAAATATTAGTTAAGTCAACTACAGTTGGCAGAAGTTGAGAAAACTCAAAAATCTCTTGCATCATGTTGCCTTGAAACTTTAAGTTTTCTCAACTTTTTCTTTTTTACAGTGTAGGTTTCACGCACACTCTCTCCCACGGGTACACTGGTACTCCGGAACCGGTATCTGTAGGTCTCCTCTGTTACATTAAACTTGGATAACACAGCAGCTTTAATGGCCTCATAAGAGTCAGACTGTTCTTCATCCATGCCAGCATAAGCTTCAAGGGCTTTTCCAGTCAATAAGGTGACCACTCTAGCTGCCCATTCAACTTGCGGCCATCCCCACGTTTTAGCTATGTGTTCAAATCGTACAAAAAAACTTTCAGGATCCTCACCTTCCCTGAAGTCAGGTATTCTTGGCTCACCCCCACGGTGTGTTTCTGTTCTCTGCACTGGAGCAGGTTGAACGACATGCATTTGAGACTGTACAGGCAGCAGTTGAGATGGAGGAGGCAGCTCAGCTTGGTGTTCAGTGGCTCCGTGAGGTGGCTGCACAGCTGATAATGGAGGCAGCTGCCCAGCCTCTTGCTTTGGACAAACAGCTGCTGTGGAAATGTCACTCTGGACAGAAGGTTGAAGTTCAGAATGTTCAACATGTTGCAGCCTTGGTATATTGTCACTCAGTTGTTTTATCTGTTCAAACAGTATTGCTTCTGTTCTTTTGGAATGCCGCATAAATTCTCTAATTTCATCAAAGATATCCGGTTCAGAAAGTTCTTTACTCACGACACCAACTGCAGTCTGCTTAGGTCGTACTACTGGTTCAAAATCATCCTCATTAGCCATTGCTCCTTCAGGGGGTGGACCTGGCTCAATTGTTTGTCCACCTTCTCTTTCTTCCATGTCAGCAAGGGGGTTTTTCCTAGTGATGGGACGTTCTGTATCGAGGCTTCGGAGCGTGTGTCGAGTAATGGAGGGGGCGTTTCCGCGAAGCGCGTATCGAGGCTTGCTTCATTTATGGGAGGAGCTGAAAATGATGACGTCCGAAGCCTCGCTGCCCGGCTGTACCACGTGACTGGTTCATGAAGTGGTTCGAACTTTGCCGCGAGATATGACAGCGATATAAACCCCTCAGACTTCATTCAAAATGTGGGTGTTTGATGGAGAGTTGCGGTTAGAGAGAGTTTGGAGACCGTTTGGAGGTTTATGAGAGTGAGGAAAGTCAGGAGAGTTGTTCTCCTGAGGAAAGACAATAAAGATAAAGCACAAATATAAATATCACACACGTAACTTATAACAGTTGTATAATATTGTTATATCATTTAGTAACATTACAGCATGCTATATTATCATTGCATTTGATGGCTCACCTGGTCTTGCTCCACAATCGGTGTTCCCCTTATTCTCATGCAAAGCTCTGTAGTGCCTAAGCATGGATGAGGTGTTGTTGTTATATCCCAGCTCCCTGGCACATAGCAAACACTTCACCTTGTACAAAAGTACAGACAGCTCAACATAAATTGTATTGCACCATCAGTATTATGAAAATACATCTTCTGTAGAAATTTACATACCTTGTTGGGAGGAATAAGATCAAAATGTTCCCACACAGGGGAGGACATCCTCCTCTTCTTAGCTGGCTCCATTCTCTCCTGACTTTCTCTCCTCACTCTCATAAACTTCCAGACTGTCTCCAAACTCTCACTAACCGCAACTCTCCATCAAACACCCACATTTTTGAATGTAGTCTGAGGGGTTTATATCGCTGTCATATCTCGCGGCAAAGTTCGAACCACTTCATGAACCAGTCACGTGGTACAGCCGAGCAGCGAGGCTTCGGACGTCATCATTTTCAGCTCCTCCCATAAATGAAGCAAGCCTCGATACGCGCTTCGCGGAAACGCCCCCTCCATTACTCGACACACGCTCCGAAGCCTCGATACAGAACGTCCCATCACTACTAAACTGTAGTGATGGCCAAATGAAGCTTTCCGAAGCACTGAAGCGTGTATTGAAAAACGGTTCATTACTTGAAGCTTTTCAACACAGTCCTCTCCGGTGACATCTGGTGGTGAAAATTTTGAAGAGCAGCTTGAATCTGCAAAATGAAACGGACAGCTCAAGCATCACTGCTCACTCAAGAGTGGAGTTCTCTCCGATATTGGGCCACCGTTCCGTTGCTTTGAAAATGTAATTGGTTTTGTTTTCTCGATTGGGGGGCTGGAAAAAATGTAATGCGTATCTGCGTAATACATTTTGATCAAACTTTCCCTATTTAAACATGCACTATGGTGGCCTTTCTTTGCTCATAACTCCTTGATGTTGGTAAATACAATAAGTGAGCAATATATATAATATACATATGAGAATGCACAGCACATTATGGAGTATGCCCCTGCTGTGAAGTCCTGCCTCCATCTACTTGTCGTTTAATCACTGGACAGCTGGACAGGTTCATACAAAATATTAGATGAGGCCAATTGTCCTATACATATTTTTGACCTAGGGGTGGGATTGATTGTGAACTGGAAAGGGAAAATGCTTAGGGAGCTGAGTACGGCTGCATCGTCACTGATTTGTAGAATCATTTTTGATTCGATACAGGATCCGATTCAATTTGATTGGAATCTGGAAAGTTTTGCCTCAGTCAGAAATATTACAAGTCTGATCATTTAACAGTATATATCCATAATTTCGTATCTATTAAAAGAAAGCTGACACATGTGAGACTTAATTAGAGATGTAAACAGAGAGTTATGAAACCTGCAGCTGCAGAAGCCAGCGAAAAAAAAAAGAGGCAAACACAGCGCGGACCCGCCGACACATCAAAATCTGACTCTGACGCGTCGGGTCCGCGCTCTGTGTTCACGTTTGTATGCAGAATCCGTAAACCTGCTCCCAGTTACTGTTTTAGCTGTATGGTGTTTGACGACATGTTGTGAGGTTTAACCTGAGATGCTGGCGTTTCAGGCATAACGTTAATTTACAAATCGACACGGGATTTTAATGAATCAATATCACTTTATTCAATTTAGCATGGATTGTAATCAGAAAGGCGATAATCAAAACCCACCCCTAATCAAGAACTTGCAAAGTAAAAACATGCTCTATGTCAGGTAGCCCTTTTGTTATTTACATTTAAAAAGAGGATTAGTGTTACTGTGCGCTGGCTGAGTCTGTTTCTTTTCTTAGAAATAGTTTCTCCTGCCCTGGAGAAAATCCACTTGCATGGAACAGAAGAGGCTGTGGAGTGCAGGAACCACACTGCAAGCTGGTAGATATGCAGGTATTCCTGGGTCCTGCAGACTATCACCTAAAAACAATAAACAAAATGATTTTCTAAACTGTAGCAATGTAATGTACGTATAGTGTCAAATACATTGTTGTAGTCTTCATTAGCTTTAATTCACATGGAAGTGTTCCTAAAGTCATATGCTGTAATGATATTTACATTATGAAAACATGATTTTGGACATTTCAGGTATTTCACTTCGGCAGATAAAATGAATTGAGCAAAATCAACTCAAAATATTCCCACACGCCATAACGTCCTCTCTTCCTCGCTGGCTCCATATCTGTCAGTGGAATGATCACCTCTTCGCTCTCTGTCACCATCAACACACTCCACGAATCCCGTGGATGATTCACTTCCTTATATCCGTTTGAATCAGGTACCGAAGCAGTTACGTGCGTAATGAAGCTTCGGACGTCACTGGTCACGTGACTTTTGCCAAACGAAACAAGCCTCGACACAGTGCTTCTGAACCAGTGTGTTGTTTTTTTCGACACACGCTCCGGAGCGTCAGCTTCAAGCGGGCCATCACTACTAAACTGGTTCAAAACACCGCTGCATGACTTTTAAGAAGAACCTGTAAACGAGAGGATTACCCCTGTCTCCTAGCCTCACTCCACTGGCAGCCTGTATATTTTAGAGTTCATTTTCAAATTGTTATGTTCAGTTTTACATTTTTCACAGATTGGCCCTGCCTTACCTTCTTCACGCCTACACACCTCATCAGTCTCTCAGGTCAGCTGACCAGCTCACTCAGATAGGACCTGGCCATCTCTATCATTGTTCATAAGCTATGGATTAACTTGCTGTTAGATGTAAGAGAGGCCCCTTCACTGTCCACTTCAAAAAAACATCTTAAAGTTTTTATTCTTTCTGACCCAGTGAGACTCCGTCTGTTTTAGTTATTTGATCTTTTTAATTGTTTTTTTTTATATCTCATGTATTGTTATTATTTAGTTTCAATGTACAGCACTTTGTGTCACCTATGGCTTTTTTAAAGTGTATTATAAATAAAGATACTCTGGTAGGTAACTGCTATTATACTTATTGGCAGCTGTTCATTAACTGGGGCTCAGAGCCTAGTTACACTGCAGAGCTGAAGATACAGAGATACCACATGGAAACAACCTTCATGTGTTTCTACCTTACCAATGGCTCCTGAGACAAACTAAGGAATTATTACCTTGTGATAAACAGGATGAAGATGCCTGGGCTGAGGGTTTCCCTGTTGGAGTAAAGTGCACCATGAATCAGGAACTTTTTGTTTAACAATGAATACATGGCATTGCATGGCTTCAAAATATTCCAAATATAATCTCAAAAGGTTGATTCTGTTCATCTGGATGTAGCGTTATCAGTGGGAGAAACGTTTTGTCACTCATCTAAGTGACTTCTTCAGTCTCAGCTGACTGTAAGTTTCCCCAACCTTATAAACAGTACATTTGGATAATGACTGAAACCAGCCCAGTGAAGGAACAATGGGCTGGGAGGTCAGTTTCTTCATTGTGATTATGCAAATTCTCATGACCATTGACCAAAAACCACTGACCAAAACCCACTGTTCAATGGCCACGAGTATCATTCACAGAGAGTTGGGGAATGGCTGCAATCACCATTGTAAGATGGTGACATATGTACGACACGTTTCTCCCACTGAAAACGCTACATCCAGATGAGAAAAGAAAAACTTTTAGAGATTTACTTACCTGCATGATTGAGCATGCATCAAGATGTCTAAATATAATATTTGTACTCAAACAAAATTAGAAAAGAAAAGACACACAATTGAAGATTCAGACTAAAACAGCCTCAGTTTTCAATCCATAAACTGTGACAGTGTTGTCCTGATACTGCACTGAGTGTTTCATGTCTTTTTTCTCTGACTGACCTTCATTCATCTTCTTTAAAATCAACTCCGCCACCTCCATTACATGGGGAGTAGTGTATGTCTCCACCATAAGATTCACAGTTTCATGACGTCCATCCTTCCTTGCGTTCTCCAGTCGGCTCTTTTTGATGGTTGTGAAATCACCTCTGGGTCCTTTCTCCAAGTACCAGTGGAAAAGTTTCAGCTCCTCTTCTCCCAAATCTTCCAGAATGTTCAGTAACTGCTCCTCAACAGATTTTTCCATCTTTCAACTGTAAAACATGAAAGAGAACATGACTCTCATCACATGTCCAATGTATTTACTTATTTAGAATATTTTGAGTTTGAGCAGTTTGAGTTCAGGTTTTGTTCTGAGAGCTTTCATTGAGCCACAATGTCTCTTTTTACCTCTTGAGCCCCAGCACCTGGGGCAAAGGGGGTGAACTGCCGTTTAACCCTCCAACTGTCAGGTCTTTTATGCAAATATGGACATGTATGGTATCCACAAAAAGCTCAGAATTCACCCAAAGAATTCACATTCACATCAGCTCACACACACTTTCTACCTTCACCTGCAGAAGAAACCCAAATCATTCATGTGCACATCAGCTGAAATCCTCCTTTCCATCATGTGTGCTGTCCAAATACCAGCTGCTTCTTTCCTGCTTCATGTCAGTGTCAGCTGGATGCAGTCAGACAGCAGTGTGAGGCAGAGGAAGCTGCCATCACCTGCTCTACTATCAGTCCATTAGATGTAAACTACTAGAGTAAAGTTTTTAAATAATTCTGTTTCTGTGTCACTAAATAACGTTTTTAGGGGAGCACATGCATGTGTAAACTTCAAATATCTGCTTTAAAACATATTTTAAAAATGTGTATTTGCTCTGCCAGAAAACATGAAACCCTAACCACCAGGACCAAGGAAATATTCATCACACTGACAGCAAATGTAAAGGGCTGTGACGTCATCACGTACGCTGTGTTCTCTGTGCTCTGAGTGAACTCACAAAGTACAAACTATAAGTACACTAACACAAACGTAGCTCAGAGTGGAGAACACACTCGGCCTTGTTGGTCCAGCTGTGAGTCCATTACCGTGAACTCTGGAGCGGCAGAACTAAGCTGCACACAGCTGATATTAGCCAGGAAAACATTACACACTGACTTTAATGGAGAGATCGGAAATACAAACACACACAGTTGTGTTAAGAACTCAAACATGGGCTGAACAAACAGTAAAGTTACGAAAGACAAACAGTTAAAGGAGGAAACAAAGCAAACTTACAGTTTCTTCACACCAACAACAAGCTCCACTCCACACCTGGGGCCCGTTCTTCGTACCTCACTAAGTAGGTTAGCCGGATTAGATTGTTGACGATTTCGCGTGATCTTGGATCGTTCGGTTCCCCGAAGCTCATCCGGGACTTGCTGTCATAGCAACAGAGCCGTAAGCGTAAACCTGCTCGGGAGCAGGTTTACTTTATGTAAACAGGATTAGATCGCGGCCACGCAGGTATGTCCGCTTCATTTATACGAAAGCAACAGCGATATTCCACCACTGTTTCACCATAAATAAATAACATCAATGTAACTAAAGATAATGCAGCACTTGATCCTTTTATTGATTTCACACAGATACATACAGGTCATTTCCTAAAAAAGGGAAATGTACTATTAACATTCTATTACATGTATGTGATTATTACAGATGCAATTCATATTTCAGAGTAGTAATTGTAAATTACTTCGTGTAATCAAGATGAGAGACCATGGCTATAAAAGCGAAGGTGGATTTGGGAAGCCTGTCGCAGCCATGTCCTGTCCGTATACGCGAGCCACCCATTGCGGAAGGTGCAAGATTGATAAGGAGAGTCCTCAGAATTCAGCGTATATTGCGGGACAGACAGAATCCTTTAGCTCAGCGCGACAGTGTGCTCATAGAGAGATATCGATATTCCCGTGAGGGTATTATTTACTTAACCAACTTGTTGACGAGGGGGTGCAGGACCACCACCTGTCTTTTTTTCCTCTGCCCTTTTCTTGGTTGCTGTTATGAACAAACTAACAGAGTATTACAGGCTAGTATTACCTTGCCAAGAGACGCAAAGCAATCTAAGAGATAAATATTACCATTCTGTAGAATACTCCTGTATTCCACTTTTACTTGTTCCCATGTTCTTGTGGGTCCTGTTGTGGCTCTAATGTGAAAGGGGATATAATATAACATATTATAATATAATATAATGCCATATGATATTGGACAATATAGTGTCATATGATAGATCTACCCTACCGCCTACTGGTGTTGGCCAGAGGGGCCGATGGCGCGATATGGCAGCCTGGCTACAACCGTAGCTGCCTCCACCAGTGTGTGAATGTGGGAGTGAATGAATAGTGGTATCGTAAAGCGCTTTGGGTGCCTTGGAAAGCGCTATATAAATCCAATCCATTATTATTATTATTATTAAATTACCTACGAGTTTGATTTGTCAGCAACTTTCTGCCAGCCCTCTCTCCTTGCTTTTGCAGCCTTTGCAGTGTTCTCTTGCGTTTTAATTAAACTCTGAAACTCCTGAAATCCCTCACTCATGAGTTCTTGCTCTGCTGCCGGAAAATACCGAGCACGCCCCTTCGACATTTTCGCCGACCAATCAGCGGGTTGCCGATCAATGTTTCTACTATCGATGCGTAGCCCCTTTTACGACACCCAGTGATGTCACATTCCTGCGTCCAGCTGTACTAATCGTCAACAGCAGGTGTGTTCGGGGAACCGGATTAGCGAGCTCACGGTTAGCGCGATGGTTTGGTCTTGGATGTGTCATTTGATCTTGGATGTAGTGAGCGACGTACGAAGAACGGGCCCCTGGACACTAAACACGGACACACAGATGAGCTGCTTCTTGGAAGGAGGCAGGACTCCACCTGTAACTCAGCACAGGTGGGAGGGGCTCAGCTCTGTGTGTGCTGATGTGTTAACTTTAAAAATATGACTGCTCAGACTGAGTCAGAGTAAAGTTCACATGCTGACGTGTGGAGACATGAAACCTTGTTGTAGCTGCAGGTGTGAACACACTGATCCCAGATCAGCTCTGCTGTATTTGTAACATGAACATTTCTACTGCAAAGCTTCAAATGTTCAGCATGTTTCTCTGCTTCCAGTCTATAGATCCAGTCACACTTTCTACCTTCACCTGTGCAGTAAAGACTGAGAGCAGAGCTGAAACCAACCATCCAATCAGGGAGCAGCATAAACACCTGCGCTTCATTCAGATGCGTCCCCAATCCCAGTCCACGGCTGTGTCCCAATTCAGGTTCTGCACGCTTGAAGTACGCGCACTACACGTACGGTGCGTACTATAAGTACGAGAAGTGCGGAAGTGAGAGGCTTGTGAAATGGGATGGTATACGCTTCGTCGCGCTGTTCAGGTTGCCTAGCAACCATGATACTAACCGCGAGAAACGTCACATACAGCTTTGTTTGACAGAAATGAAGGAGAAAAATGTTTTGTTGGTCATTCATTTTTGTCATGACATCACTTTGATTAGTTGAGTATCTGAGGCTGAGACCACGGGACTGTAAAACATGATTGTTGGGCTTCATTTCTGTACTGAACAGGGTCATTTAAGATTAGTTAGTAAATAACAATTAGCTAATGTTGTTCAGGAGACTAAAGTCATCTCACTGTGGTAATGTAAATATAATATGGCCAATATTATAGTATTGTCAGATTATTATGATATATATATATATATATATATATATATATATATATATATATATATATATATATATATATATATATATATATATATATATATATTTATATTTTAGGGGTGCAACGATACACAAAATTCACGGTTCGGTTCGATACTTTTTTGTCACAGTCCGATATGTTTTCAATACAAAAAAATGTTCATGCCTTTTTAATTTGTCATTTATTAAGATTATAAATATTTATTTTAACTCAAAAATACAGTTTTTAAATGAAATGTTGCTGAAACAACAAAATAATAAAAGAATAAAAGAGTTTGGAAACGAGTTTATTTCAGAGAAATGTCCTTTTCCAAAATAAAAGCTATGCTATACCCTTCTTCTGGGGTAAATTCTCAGGAACATATTGAACATATCAGGTCCCCATAAAATGAACCACTCTCTAATGGACCTCACCTCACACTCATCTTCTTGAGTGCTAGCACTTAGCTGCATATACAACAAAAACAACTTAAATAAAAATATGTATTGCACAGAAAGGCCTTCCTAAATATATTTTTAAACATTTGAAATGTTCTAAAAACAAGGTATCAACCACATACAGTTCTGCATTGTTTGGGAATCCCTGACGGTATTTTCTATTCTTGGCAGAATATAAAACAAACACACCCAATCCCTGGCATGAAAATTTTTTTTAGAACCATGTTCTATAGTGTACAGAAAACACATGAAAACTTAAATCTGGTAAAGCTATACTTCACATATTTTCTGTTGTGCAGACTTGGCACCATGTAAAACAAACAAACAAAAAAAACACCATGTAAAGAATAAAAAATAAATACAAATAAAAGCTATTCTATACCCTTCTTCTGGGTATATTCTCAGCAGCATATATAACAAATCAGGTACCCATAAAATGAATCACTCTTTAATGGACCTCCCCTAACACTCATCTTCTGGAGTGCTAGCACTTAGCTGCTTATACAGCATAAACAACTTAAATAAAAGGTCCTGTTAAATACAAACCAAAACATATTTTACTCAATTTCCATGTTCTTCTTCAGAAAAATTAGGATGTCCACATGTTCTGCTGACAGTACAGATCTGCTTGCTGTGACAATGTCACCTGCTGTGGAAAACACCCTCTCACTTGGGATAGAGGTTCCAGGTACAACCAAGTAACAGTGTGCCAACTTGGAAAGATGAGGGTACAAGCTGTGATGTTCCTTCCACCATCTCAGTGGGTTATCATCTGTGGGAATGCAGTCTGCTAACCTGTACAAGTTAATTTCCTCCTCTGCCACTTCGGCTGCAGACCTGGTCCTTGGCTCCTGTGACATGAACAGTTCTCCAAACAAC